ATATACACTCTGTATATATTAAAATAAAATAAAACATTAAGCATAAACATGTTTTAGACAAATCTTAAGTGAAAATTAATAAAATTATTAAAATTATGTATGTATCATATCTAAATATATAAATAGACCTGTCAATCCTTTGTAAGGACAGATATCTGCATATTCTTATATATGTCTATATAACTTTTAGACTCTATTTGTGTAATTTTTGAGTACATTTTTTTAGTTAAACATGACACCGCCTCACAATACTCGCGCACAATCTTTGTACAGTAGGGGTTTTGGTTTATTCATTTAGATTGATTACTTTGGTTGGCGGGAGCTTTGTGATATCTGTTCCATATATGAACTAAAGAGGATTTTTCCACTTTCTTCAACAACAGCTTTTGTTATATATAGTTAGTGCGGGTCAGTTTGTCCTAGTTATAGATGTGTAGTTGTGGTGTTATTATTCCAGTGCAGCTTTTCTCTGAAGACTAATCACGGTGTAATCTTTAATGCAGCAAATGCAACGCACATTATAGAGTCCCCGGGGTGTGGCTTTATACATGGACCAATCATGCTAAGGAGATGTTGTTTTGTGATTGGTGAGACTCTGCCTTCCTTGAGTCTAAAGAACAGATGTCGGTACAGTCCACATCATCCACACAAAGAATGACTCAGTGTAAGTTCTGAACTTCTTCTCATATACAGTATATAATGTAAGAAGTATTTTATATCAGAATTCCAGGCAAATCAATTCTTAACTCTTGCAATGGGGCTACCCTCCCCTCCCCCCTCCTCCCCACCTTCACACTGCAAGGGTGAAGTACTTTATTATGCAAATTATAACTTTGTAATAACAAAGAAATACTCACCCGAACCAGGATCAACGCTTGTTTATAGACTGCTACCTTCAGCTTCACTCCTCCTCCGCTCCATCGGTCTAAGATCCTGTGAGTTGTCACGTTCTATACAGTGTATAGAAAGCGAGGACGCCAAGGAACTTCCCATCACTGGAGTGGAGGAGGAGATAGGGTGGAGGGAGCATTTGTAGGAGGAATTTTGTTTTTTTTAACTCCCTAGACAAAACAAACACTTAACCCTTAGGCTGGGTTCACACCTAGGCGTTTTTCCGCACTTTCGTACTCGCGGAAAAACGCTCAAACAGGGAAATGCCATTATTTTCAATGTGCATGGTTCCCATCTGGGCGGTTTTCCGCGAGTATGAACGTGCGGGAAACCGCCGTACGCCCAAAGAAGTACATGTACTTCTTTGGGGAGTTTTGGTCGGGCGGTTCCATTGGGATACAGCCAAGTATGCCTCGGAAACGCACGTTTTTCACGCGGTTTTTTAACCGCGTAACGCGGTTAAAAAAACGCATGAAAAACGTGCATATTCAATCCGCCTAGGTGTGAACCCAGCCTTACAGTGCGGGGAGTAGTCCCACTTCAAGGATTAGGATTTGATTTGTCCAGCATTCCAAAGGTTGTAGAGGGATTGTATTGTACATACCCTATAATGAAAATTGCAACAGCTATCTTTTATTAGAGTTAACCAGAATGTTTAATTTGTTGTATTCATTGAAAAAAGAAATGATGATACTTAAAATGTTTTGAAACAATTGTTTCAATGCAAAACAAGATGTAACATTGACATTTTTTAAATTATTGTTTTAGACATTCGGGTTAAGAGTTGTTTGTTTGCTTCATGAGGAATGTTGCCCCATTCAGCTGAAAAAAAGCCAAACTGTTTAGAACCAATAAATTGCAAGCTGCAAGGTAATGCAACAATCTTATTGCATTGTACATTTAATATTGTATCTATTTAAGTATATTTAGAGTGGTTGGAAATCATTCCAAATTATTCTTGTTTTATAGTGGAACTCCTTAAGGCACATGTGTCAAACTCAAGGCCCAGGGGCCGAATCCGGCCCACCAGGCCATTTCCTAGACTTCTACTTTCAGATCTAGGTATTAAGTTATTACTAAAACCAGTGATAATCGAATGCAGAGGCAATTATGATAAATATTAGATACATTCATATAGTCTTATAGATACAACCGGCCCTTTGAGGGCAACCATAATGTTGATGAGGCCCACGATTAAATTGAGTTTGACACCCCTGCCTTACGGGAATAAAATACCCAATTCATGCAGCCCTGTATTAATTAATATATCATTAAATTGGAACTCTGGGCAAAGTGTTCTTCTCCCTTACAGTGGGGTTGCAATGTATTGCAAGGGGTAAGTGCTCTTTTTTTGTCTAGATGTTAAAAAAAAGTTATAGGAAATTTGCATAATGTATGGCCAGCTTATGACTCCAAAACCATTTGATATTAGTTTTTTTCTCATAACGGGACAATATAGAACAACTAAATCATTGCAGGACTTCAGACATCAAGGCTTATGAATGCTGAAACTGGACTCAATACGGTGGTTTTGGTACAGGCTCCGGTATGCATCTTTCTAATACACCCAATACTTCTCTTTATAATACACACGCGAAAAGCACCCTCTGAAATTCCAGTTACGGCATTTATAAGCCATAATATAGGGGGATGGTCTGTACCCCTGAAACGCATTGGCTCTTCCATGTTGTTTTGTTATGGGCAAATATGAATATTAAAGTCTTGGACTCTTAGGTCTTTGGTTGGGCATTCTCAATATACTTTTTATACATGGATCATAGACTTTGGCTCTCCTAGATAAGGGGCACCATGTTTCTGTTGAGAGCATCCTCACTGGAGATACTGAACTAACCATAAATCCAGCACCTCCTATGTTGATGTTCCAGACTTAGTACTGCCTTAGCAGCCATGGGTGCCATTATTTTCAGGTGCCAATCAGGTCAGGGGGATTTTCTCTCTATAATAATTTTAAATTAGATAACCAATCATGCATACTAGGACTTACCTGGGACCATCTTCAATTGATACAGATATCTGCAAATTGTGTTTGATTTTTATTTGAATTTATTTATTGTATTTGCAAAGAAATATTAGAAACTCAATACAAGG